ACGACTACCACCACTGATGCTCCCATTACGACGACAACCACCACTGATGCTCCCATTACGACGACAACCACCACTACCATCCCTGCCACCACAACAACTACAACTACCACGGTGGCACCGACCCCCGTTGTCCAACCAAAACCAGACGACCCTGCTCTCGTAGACGTGAAGACCTTTACCACACCCACTGATCCCAACGATGGTGGCGGACTATTGTGCAAGAATATCAACTTTGGCACTGGCGATCCTGCCAGCGAGCCCCTGACTTTCCCATTCAACGGAGGAGACTACAACTACAACAAAATCGCACTCTCCGGCTCGGCGGGAAAGAATTACGAGCTCAATTGTTTGGGCCATTCTGCTGGCAACGACGACACCGAGATAGGGTCTGTTACTACAGTCTTCAGTCTTGAACACTGCGTTGCCCGATGTGCAGCAGAAGCAGACGAAACTTGTTTGAGTGCCAAGTTCGACAGAGTCACAAAAGCCTGCCGGATTTACACGGGAGCCAATGCTTATGCTCCAAATAACTTAGATCCAAGTTCATTTGGTATTCGCAGGCTAACCATTGGTCTACCCAAGGTCTTCGGCGCACAATACATCCTTGGGCCTGACACAGCGGATAATCTGGGGCTATGTGCTGGTAGCTTGGGCATGGATTACGCCAAGTCTTTCGTCGTTGTCACCAAGGCCGACAAGACATTGCGACCTCTCACCGGACACCGGGACAATGTCTGGTGGATCAACTGCAAGAGCCACTGGGAAGGAACGGCGTCAGGAGTGATCTCCGTGTCCACCGCTCAAGGAATTGCTCCGCTTGGCCGTGCTGTCGCCAATGGCGAAGACTGTCTGCGCCTTTGCCACTACCACGCAGCTGCCAGGGCAGCGAGCGGTGAGACTGACGGATGTAAAATCTTCCACTGGACGACCTCCAACACCTGCGTGATGTATTCCAATCGTGGAACCGCACCAGGCGCAGCGGTAGACGACTCCGACGTGGTACTTTCCGGCGTTGTCCGAGGTACTGGCGGTGACGACGGCGATCTGTTCTTCAGAGCCGTCGCAGAGTACAAGAAACGAGACGTTGGCCTCTATGACGTCGACCTCTCGGCCAAACACATGAGAGGCAAACGATACACATCAGCCCAACAAGTCCAAGACGATCTCGATCAAGCGCTTCTACCTGACGCCATCATCCCATTCGATCCGGCTGTGAATGCGACTGACTTACGCGTCTAAGCGCCCTTGTCATGCATCAGTGACGAGGATAACGAGAGATGATGTGTTGTTGTTTTTCTTCTGGCGCCGAGGCAGAGTCTTTGTTGGGGGCTAGCTGACGGATTTATATTTCCACATGTTGAAAACCAATAGTTCTACTACTGGTGCAGCCTTTGCTCGGCAATTAATGTTGTGAACGCATTAGGTATGCATGTTGTGTTTTGTCTTTGGGATGAGGTCTGCGGAAGCGGGAGAATTGAATTGGAGAGAGAAGGGGTCAATACATCGAGTGCAACGCAATGGACATCAAGAAGTCTGGTCGAAGACTGTTTCAACAAGATAACGAGCCTGTGATCGACCTGCCTCAGCAGCAACTACAGCCAGAACTGCGGGCATGTTTGGCACGTCCATTGTGTCTAGTAGACCAGTTGATCGCAGAGGCCGTTCCTCTCGCGTGCCATAGCTCCCTTGAGTGAGAATTTGGGTGAGCATCAACATTGTGATGCCTTGGTTTGATGTTTTGGTTGAATTAATACATTCATTGTTCTGGACTGCAGTATGAGCCTCGGTTCGGTGCGTGGCAGTGGTTATTCCGTCCCTTGTTTTGAATTGTCCTGCTTGCCTTTCGTATTCGCCTTGAGCTCACAAGGCCCAAACCAGTGGTACACTAATAAAAGCGTGCAGTTTTTTGTTGTTTAGGCAGAGACGTGAACGGCCCAGGTTTGAGTTTGAACTTTGGTCTCTGTAGATGTAGATGCAGATTGTCGCGATTCTATTGCCCCTACATGTGAATTGGTTGAGCATGATTTAAGCTGAACCTCTGGATGTCGATCAAGGAACCATTGGACTTTCTGATATGGGCTGATTCTCCAGGATCTTGGCACCATCATCGAAGTGGTCCAAGTTCTGGACTGGCGCTGATAAATCTGAACACAATGACCAGTTTCGCTTTGGGGAGAGGCTCCAAGCAGTGTGTGCCCTGTATGCGACATCATACCGCAAGTCCTGTCGGGCATGCGTGGGATTTTGTCCCAAAGATTGGGATGAAGTGAAGACGTCTTCTAGATCCCTCACACTTTCAATCCCCAAGAGCGAGCTAGACCAACACTACTACCTGCCCAGAAGCCGATGTACTGGCCTAGACCCCCAACGGTGGATCCAACGGCACGAGCATCTTGCAAACGACGGCTCAGGAACTCTTCTGTTGCAGCATAGTCTGCGGAGGTGTCGGTTGTCATGAACACTTCGGAACTGGCATAGACGGCAGCAAGGGAGGCTCTTTTGGTGTACCATGAGAAGTCGACGGTGGTGTCTCCTGCGAGATACCAAATTTCGTCAGATAGAGCATTGAGCTCTCGTAGAGAGGCAGGGATGTTCTCGAGAAGCGACATATGACCGAGAGCCTAGTTAGTTTGTCAGCTGTCGGTCGTTACGAATAAATAGAGTCATGTCGATAATTACTCCTTGCCATTGATGAATGATGTCACGGTTGGCTCGCAAGCGAGACATGACCAGAGTCCTGACTTTGGAAGTCAAGCCTTGGTGTGTGTTTTCTGGGAACTGAACTCCATCTTTTAAAGCCAGTCTCTGGGAGACGAGGTGATAGTTGATGAGGTCGAAGACTCCTCGGGGAAACAATTGGACTGAAACGTCGAGGTAGCCGGCGTCTCTGGATCCGAGTTTCAGAGCCTCTTCTGTGAACCCATATTGCGGGACTCGATCAAGGGCACACGAAAGAATCTTTTCATGAGCTGGGGGGAATGGTGGTGGGTATGGGTGGTGGACGGAAAAGTACGATCGTCTGGAAAGGAGATGCGAAACGTATGAGCATTTGGCGGTGATGTGATGACGTGACGATCTGAGCACGGATATGGAAGAAGACTGAATCATGGCCATAGATTCAGCGCACTGAAAGCTGGCGGCAGGAAAGCAATAAAGAACTCTTTTTGGCGTTGGAAAGCTCGAGGGCAGATTAAGGGTGGAGGTAGTCGGAAGATTCGAGGTCACAGCTCAGCCTTGTTGTTTCTTGGCACAGCCTTGTGCTTCACACTATACAATGCTCCCAGATGTAGATCTTCAGGATACCACGACACGACCTGTCAAGAACAAATATTTGCTAGGGCGATTAGAGGATTAGAGGAATGATTTTTTTGCAGGCCTGGCACTTGCGTAGGGGACTGACAACCCCTCGACCTTTCAAGAGAACAACCTCCATCTTTGGCCTTTATAACTTCACTTTGACTGACGAATGAGTTTCCCAAGGTTCCTGAGATTGACTAACTACCTAGTACTTTTGTTCTACGCCTACTGCTTCGAGATGGAATCCCACTAAGTATGTTTAACAAATGTACCTTATCCACCAACCATGGAGTGGTGCAAGCCAACTAACTTACCCCAGTGTCTGAGAATTCCTCTGTCACATTCGTTCCTTTGATCGCCGTGGTGGCAGTCAGAAATGGTAGAGCGAACTCGATTTGGCTGTCGCAGGTTCTGATCGTGGAGGCTAGAGATCCAGCTGAACAGGATTAGGTACAATGCTTCGTCAATTGATAAAAGTATGAGATCACGTGCACGATTTGCACGAAGATCTTTCCTCTTCCTCAGTAGCCAGAAGCAACTACCATTCATCAGCAACTAAAAGTCGTCCAGCATAATACCTTTGTTGTCCTACCGGCTGAAGTGATTTTGAAAATAGTAGACGTATGTAGAGTCCTTACCGTTCTTGGCATAGCTGGCCTCCGAGGATTTCGTGTGATCAATACAATCCTCTAAGACGGCACTTACCAAAATCGAGGCTTGACTGGTGACCTGAGATCTGGAAGAGCGAAGACCTTGGTTCAACGGTATATCCAATTTGTCGAGGAAGACATGATTAACGAGCAGAGTCTGGTAAGGCCTTTGAGGTATAAAGGTACCCTGAGGGATACGTGGTTCCACCATTTTTGACCCCAACCCAAAAGTCTCATGCCATATTTGGCGCCTCCGACTTCTTGAGCCCTTCAGAGGAGGGCCAGTGAAAGTCATGGAGATTGTAGTTCTTCGGTGGATCAACACTGCCCACGCAGCACCCAAGATATCCTTCTTCTGCATCACTGGGCATTTAAGCGACGACCAGTAATATGTGCTTGACTAGCATCCTGTCCTGGAATTAGGTTTTTGTCTCGTAGACTGGCGATTTGAGTTGCATGTCTTCATGTAAATGGCTTGACATTTATGGCATGTAGGCATGGTAAGGGGGATGATGTGATTCTCCAACTGCAAGTCTATTGCTCCGGTCTTCTATGACAAAACACATAGTCTGAATAATTGTCGGTTAACAAAGGTCAATGTCAAATTTGATATTTTAAATGTCCAGGCATATATTACGCCATAAAATCATGACTCCGGCTGCTCGGTGCTATGCATGAATCCAAGGATTAATATTAACTTGCGAATAGTTGACGAGTGGCGAGTGGTCATGGGCTATTATTTGACCTCCCTTGCCTTCTCGACTGGTCGACGTGCAGAACGAGTTCGGTGAAGCTAACGGGGAAGTGAAGTTGCCGCGCCTAGCCAGCAGCCCGAGGGCCCAGATGAGAACCGAGGGGCATTCCCTGTAGCTTGTGGGGCATCAGCGGGACACAAAGCACACCCGGAACATAGGCTACGCACTCGAAGCACCAAGAGAATATGCACACAATTTCAAGCCACACTGGAATATAGCTTATAAGACACGGAAGTTATATTTCATTGTACAATGATACTAGACAGAGTCTAGGTAGTTGTGAATTACTATCCTATGCAAAGATCTCAACATGAGACCTTTGCAGAGATTAACTGTACAAAATGGCTTGCCTACTAACCTACCGTCAAGTCCTCCCCCCCTTGGACGCCTGCCTCGGGCTTCCGGGATGCTACGCCTTATGCTGCTTGGCTTCCGCGCTTATGCAAGTTACCCATTGGACTATTTGGAGGCGCAGGTTCGATCCCCGAGACCCCCGGCAATGATCGTCCACTGGCGCAAGACTTTCTTTTGACGCCGGTTTCGGTTGAACGTCGACATGAAGAACTCGACCAGCTTGCGACCTCGACGAGCCAGGTGAGCCCACAAGGTAATAATGAGCAGTGGATGGCCAAAGGGTTGTTATGCCAAAGGGAGTTCAGAGCATGCTTCTCGCCGTTCAAAGTGTGTACCAGCGGGCAATATTTGAATTTTCTGAGCGAAGCCTAACGAACAGTAACTATGACATGTGACAACTCATCCCGAAGCAGTTTCTTTTGCATCTTGACTTGACGACGGTAAGTAGTCCGACATGCGTATCGCATTCATGAAAAGAAGGTCAGCCCTGTTGGACAAGATGGACGTCTGAGTCGATCTGACCAAGGTCACCTCCCTAGGTACCTTCACTCGATGCTGTGCCGACACAAGCGTCAGCTCATTTTATTGCTTGAGTTCCATACTCGGAATGGATGAAAGTGCTGGAGGGGGTTGAGCGATGGCTGCCGTCATCCTTGATGAAGTTAAGGTATCCATTTATCTGCAGTACCTATCACACTGCCTGCACCTGACAGCTCCGCCTCGATCTGCCGAGGATAACATGCACAATGGGGCTCCTGGGCACTCATTCACGGCCAAATGTCCATGTTGATCGAGAGTTAATGTAGGGATGCAGGCCAAGCCCCGTACCTAGGTACCTAAGTACGTACGGGATGGCGCCTTAGATGCATCTCATTAGGGCTCGACAAAGACCAAGACCGTAGGACGATCGCCAGATGATTCACATGCAAGTAACAGCGACCCCCTAGAACAGCACTTGGAACCTTTGGGCTACTTAGAAGGCTAGATCGCCCTCGGCCGAGGGGCCGAGGGGCCCCTAAGCTTATCCCCAGAAATCATCTTTGGTAGCTTGTATAGAGGTTGAACCAGCGGGAACAGAGCGTGTAGTGGCACCCCTCACCATACAGTTATAGGCAGGGTGCACCTAGACAATTGCCCTACTTTAGGTAGTCTCCAAGGCCGTGGGACCGCCGTGGCACACTTTGATCGTCAAATTGGCTTTGCACTCTCTGATTCCGACAGGGTCTGGTATGGCAACATGCCAACTCGCACATTTTCTCATCTCCTCTCGCCCCAAGCATCCCACTCACACACACTTCTCTCTCACTCTGCTCCGTACGTGTAGCAGCACGCCCTCCGAGTCCCAGTCTCCTCCCACACCTTCCATCCATCGCCATTGGCCTCCTGGTCCTCACCTGCGTTCGACGCCAGGCACAATCCTAGCCATCGATCACTCCACCATCCCTGCCAGCCCAGGATTGATTGGAGTCTCGCCTCTGCGCCGTCCACTCGACTTCAGCCATTGGTGTTGGCCTTCACCACTCTTACACGCACTACCAGGGCAGGGGGTTCTTTGCATTCAAGCATCCTGGACAGACGCTGCTCGGCCATCAAGAGGGCTTTGGCCCCAGAACGCCCAGCTACATACGAGTACATTACTGTACGTCTTGTCTCCTCTGTCCCTTTGGGTGTGGTTGTGCTGCTGCTGCAAGGCAGGCATCGTTGCTGACGGACCACCGGACCAGAGACAGGCCGCCAAAACAAGCACCCACCCACCGCAAGGATTCCCACTTCTACCTGCGCCTCCAACAACCCAACCGACCAACTGACCAACCGACCACCAGACCAACCTTTTCCGCAGGCCACAGTAGTCCGCATTTCTCGACAGCACAAGCACACAGGCAAACCTCTTGTCTCCACTTGATTTACGCGCCCGCTCCTCAAACCTCACCGTTGTTGCTCGCTCCGTTATTCTACCTTCTCTCCTGCAGCAACAGAATTTGATCGCGAATCAACCAATCCACACATCCTCTGTGAGAGCTGTCATCCGGTGATTAAGCAACACCAGCATCCCGCCAGACCAAACCATCGGCCACCGTGCGCGTGCGCTCCGCCTGAGGCTCTGTTGGCTCTTACCCGCCCAGATCCTGCGCCATTCCCTCCCCCTCCTCACCCTCCATTGACGACATCTTGACTTGTCGCGCTCCACTCGCATACAACAAATCGAGCTGCCCGCGTCTCGCGAATTGCTGGACGTCCCTGTACCACTCGGGAAACCTTGTTAGCTGGCCTCTCCCCCTTCCCCTCTTGCATTTTCGTGCATGCCATTCTGATCTTGTAGACTCAACAGTTCACACCAGCCAGCCGCACAACCTCTCGGCAATCGACAATCATGGGTAAGTCCTTGACCACTCTCCAGTCCCTCCAGTCCCTCCAGCCTAAGCCATACCTCTGTCCTGCTCACCCAGTCACTGTCTTGCCCTGCCCCTACATGTCTTCCTCCGTCTTGTCCACCTCGACTTCGTCTTGTGCCCCCCCATCTTCATCTTTTCATCTCACTCTTCCACCTGCCTTCCCTTCTCTTGATCCCATGTTTGGCTAACTCCTTGCTCGCAGTAAGTGCCACAACCTCTCCTCCTAGCGCGCTTTCCGCTTCGTGTGTGTGCGACGCCGTGTGTGAAGTTGGCACACGGATTCACTCCGGAAGCACTCCCATGCATCGGGTCCACTCATCGTTGTGCGCATCCTTCACCTCGAGCACATGCGACCCCTCTGACAATCTTCACTTCTCCCCATTGTCTCTCGTCATCACACCAATCGCCTTGCAGAGGTGAAACACATTTCTACCTGACTCACCTTGATCATCACCCTTAAAACCACTCCCCCCCCCCGCTCTTTGTCTCGACGTAATGATCACATCCACTTCAATTTTTCCTGACACCCTGCAGAGAGATCGATCTCATTCACCTCGCCGTCGATCGCGCAGTCCTCGACGGAGCCGACGTTCTTACTCCCCTCGAAGCCGTTCTCGTTCCCGAGGCGAGGACTACCGCCGAAGTGAACGAAGATCACGAAGTCCCATGAGTGGCGCTCCCAATTCTTCTGGAGGATATACTGGGTCAGGCTTTGCCGGGAGAAGTGGCGGTCCGCCCAGGTCCTTCGAAGACCGCGCTGCTGCAAAAGAACATATGATGCAATCCGTCCGCGAGTCTTCCCAGCAAGACCGTCGCGTCTATGTTGGCAATTTGGCATATGATGTCAAATGGCATCACCTCAAAGATTTCATGAGACAGGGTTCGTCCTCTCATCAACATCCATCATCATGGCCGCGCTGACAATTAATCTAGCTGGGGAAGTTCTCTTCGCCGATGTCTTGTTACTTCCAAATGGAATGTCGAAGGTGGGCGCCATTGTGTGATGCGGCTGGTTTTACTGGTCTTCCTTTTCTGGTTATCTGTTTTTGTCGGACGTTGGATTGACGGGTTGGACCTGGTCCACGGGTTATGTAGGGATGCGGGTAAGTTTCAACTCATCCGTCGTACCCGACGTGTCTAATCTAACTCGCCACAGGATTGTGGAATACGCAACAAGAGACCAAGCTCAGCAGGCCATTCAGACCTTGAGCAATCAGAGTCTCATGGGTCGTCTTGTTTACGTGCGAGAGGTATGCTCGGTCGATCGCCATCTGCTGTCTAAGTGCCTTTGACTAATCTCGTCGTGGGGGAAAGGACCGCGAAACTGAGCCTCGATTCACCGGCCCCCCGAGCCGCGGCGACTTCGGTGGCGGCCCTCGTGGTGGTGTTGTCTACAACACTGGTTACGGAGGTGGTGGCCCAGGTGGCGATGGCGGTGGTCGCCAGCTCTACGTGTCCAATGTCTGTTATCCCATCCTGTCAAAGTCGTGCGCGAGGAAGAACTACTCACATTTCGGCCCCAGCTTCCCTTTAACGTCGGCTGGCAAGATCTCAAGGACCTGTTTCGAGGGGCAGGTGTGTACTTTCCGTCCCCCGATGTGCTGACTTAGGTGCTCACAGTGTTGCAGCCCAGGAAGGAGGCGTTATTCGCGCCGATGTTCACATGGATCCTACTGGCCGTCCCAAAGGCACCGGCATCGTGGCATACGAGTCTCCGAATGATGCTCGCAACGCTATCCAGCAGTTCAACGGTTTCGACTGGCACGGACGTGCGTTAGAGGTACGTCTCGACCGGTACGCAGGCAGTGGTCCCGCAGGTTATGGTGGTGGAAGAGGCGGATTCGGTGCTAGCTACGGCCGCGGTGGTTTTGGTTCTCGAGGCGGATTCGGAGGCGGCCGTGGTGGCTTTGGCGGGGCCTACAGTCGTGGAGGATATGGTGGTTACAGCGGCGGTGGCGGTGGCGGAGGCTACGGCGGCGCGCCTCAAGAACAAGCACCGCCGAATCCATTCACCGACTTTGCAACCTCTGGTGGAGAACGCAGCCAGATCATCTACGTGAAGAACGTAAGTATTCGATGCCGACATCAAGATACACCAACTGACGTGATTCAGCTCCCATGGTCGACCAGCAATGACGACCTAATTGAACTCTTTACCACGATTGGCAAGGTGGAGCGAGCCGAAATCCAGTACGAGCCCAACGGCCGTTCGCGTGGATCAGGAGTGGTCGAGTTCGATTCGAGCGAGAATGCCGAGACAGCCATCTGTAAGCGGACTGGTTGTTAGCTTATACGACATTTGAGTTGCTAATACTTACTGCAGCAAAATTCACTGGCTACATGTATGGTGGACGCCCATTGGGCTTGACTTATGTCAAGTACACCAACGCGAACGGGCAAGACGCGATGGATGGACAAGAGGCGACAGGAGGCCTCACGCAGGATCAAATGATGTGAGCCATGGCTAATCATACTGGAGGCTCGAATCTTCGGCAGCACGCACACCCTTGCAGCTCGTCGAACCTCCCGAACCCCTGACGACTGGGAATAGCAGCCGAACTCTCAAATTGTACTCTACGAGCCTTTGCAACCCATACAAACACGCGGTAGTGTTGTCGATGGCTTTCCCGCCCGTCTTGGATCACCTCGCCATCGAGTGATCGAGCTCACTCGTGGCTGAATCTAAGCTGTGGCTGGGGCAAAGGTCTCGGCAACGCTTTCTCTTCAAAAAGTTGTGGATTTTTAATGTTATCACCGAACTGGTCTCGGTGCATGGTCTCAGGAAGCTGACGACTTGCTGAGCTTTCCTAGGAGCAGGCCTTGAAAAATTGGTGCTAGGTAGCGTGAAGTCGTTGGCGAATGAAACAAGTGGCGGGTCAGTAGTTGGGCAAGTGAGACGAAATTTATCGTCATGGGCTTTACTATGGTGAATTCTTGTGACAATAGTGGGAGTCTACTTTCGAGACGTCGACGCCGCAGCGGACAGGGCACGGAATAATCGTGGTTAGCCGAGTTTAAGAAGTTCTCGGGGGCGTATGTGGTGTTGTAGGGGCAAGAAGGACCATCGAGATGCAACGAGCGCTGAATCTTGGATCAAGTGCAAGACTCGCGCGTCGTTGATGGTTGATTTTTGTCACAACAGTCGAGAGGAGACGTTGGACTCACGATGGCGATACGAGGCACTGGTACCACGTGACTACTCACGTGATATCATATCTCTGAAGTTTAGGTCCACGTCCAACCACCTCGTTCTTCTTCCACACCATGAGATATGTTCGGGTCACATTATGCTGGCTCTTCCAACGTGATTTCGATGATTCCATCTATCTAAACTTTGTTCCGGTCCGTGTCATCTCATCCGTCGTCCCAGTCGCGCCGCGGCCTGCCAAGGCTGCGAGTATGGAAGGATACGTAGGCTGGGGGAGGCCCGCGTCCTCTTTCGGGCCCCCCTCGAACCCAAACCTTGGAGTCCTGACCATGGTTGAACAGTAAGTTCCAGTTTCGACTTCCTGCTTCAGGTGCAATATCTCTGTACGTTGGCTGACTGCCAAAAGTTGTGTGTATGGTGGGAAGCATTTGGGCCAGATGTGAGGTTTATCTCAATGCCAGAGATGACGATGAGACGATTTGGTGCATGGGCAGGTGCTTGGTCAGGCTTTCGACCTAACCGACCGAAAGGCCTGCGAGGACAACTTGCAATACTCTTTTTTTACCTTGTGCAAAGTCTGATCAACGGAGAGCTGCCACACTTCTTCCTCACGGATCTTAGAATAGAGGTCCACGGGAAACGGCGGAGCATTGCTCCAAATCACTCGCCTCTCAACTCTATCCCCAGAACATGCCGGACAACAAATCCATGGTTTCGGGTCATGCTCTATCGATATTGTCCAATCAATCTCTTTGTTGAGACTCCGAAGCTACAAAATTCTACATTATTGTGGCTTCACGTGCCTGTTCACGTGCCCGACCGACACCGGCCGAGGGGCCCCGCGGATTTTCCGCACTTCGGTATCGGAGGCCCAAAGTTACCCAGTTGAGCGAAATACCTCCTCCATTACCATGACCATGGTACACTTCTTCCTCGAATAACATCGTATCGACCTTGATACCGCTTTCCGGTGGCCTTTTCATGCTCACCCAACATAGGTGACGCGTTGTCTCCAAATCACCGCAATCAAGTCTGGCGACGTCATGCCTAACACCAGCGCTAAAGCCGGTAAACATGGATTTCCGAGGGGAAAACAAGGACGTCCAGTCTCATGCTACCTATGCCGCTTGCGCAAACTCAGATGCAGTCGTGAACATCCTTGTTCCAACTGCAACACTCGTGGTATCAAATGCTCGCTGTATGGGGGTGACGATGATGACTCCTTCCCACCCTCAGGATCCTCTGCACCATCCCATGCATCCCCCGTCGTCGAAGCCAGAAATACAGATGCTTCACTGTTCTCAGACATCCTAGAGCGCCTGGAAAGGTTAGAAAACGTGTTATCTACCCAGACGGCCCTCTTGCAGAACTCCGATCCGAGCCACTCACCTAGACACAGCCGCGAATGGCAAACAAACACGTCCCCTGTCCCTACCAGCCTTATACAGCTGCCGCGACAACCCACACAACATCATCTTGCGGGAGACGTGAAAAGGTTGGAGCAAGTCTCCACAAGTCACCCCTCCAAAGTAAAATCCCAATCCATTCATGGCCCAAAACATGATGGACAGTGATTCGCTAACTTCCTCGTCCAGAGTTTCACCTCATTGGGGAGCATTGTTTTTCGTGTCAGGCCGCCGCCACCTAGTACTGGACCAAAGACATCAGAACATACATTCCACAGCAGCGGTGGTCAGAACAGCGACCAGCTTGTGTTTGGCATCTGGCTACCGTGCCGAAGCGAAGCAGAAAGTCTTGTGGAGCAGTATCTCAACAATGTCAGCTACATTCACCATATCGTCCACCCTCCCAGGGTCCGTAATGAGGTGGCAAAGCTCTACACTGATCTAGAGAGCCAATGTCAACCCGAGCTCGGAAGCGCAATCCTTTTTCTGAGCTTGCTCGCTAGTGTCACTTACCTCCTAGACACGGAAGATTCTGATACTGAACTCTCCCCAACAGTAACCGAAGCCAGTGAGGAAACTTTGTCCTGGATTCGGATCACTTTGACTGTATTGAATCAGTTACAGAGTAGCAGTCTTTGCTCTCTTCAGAGTCTGCAGGCTATCATCATTACATCCTTCCTTGTAGGTAACATTGAAGGAATTGCTCAGCGCTTCAGAACCTTGATAGCCACAGCTTTAGCGACGGCCCGCGAACTTGGCCTACACCGAATTGACCATGGAGAAGGTACTGAGACTACCGAGCCTCCAGCTCAAGACATGGTCGACGTAGAGGTTGGCCGTCGCGTGTGGTGGCATCTCACAGCGACTGACTGGTAAGAGGCCTCGTCTCTTCCACCCACTTCCCTCCTCCCCAGGTTCCCACACACTTTCATGTCGCTAAAGTAATATACAGGCTCCTGACTCGATATTCCGGACCAGCCGCAGGCGTTTATACTGTCCACCCCAACCACATGAATGTCAAGAAACCACAAAATATCGACGACGATGACCTGCACGTTGATGGCTTGGCCAGGAATAAAGCTGTCTCGGTACCCACAGCCATGTCTTACTTTCTTCAACGAATTCGGCTGGCTGAAATTTGTCGCAAGGCTGTGGACCACGCCTCGCTCTGGTCAGCGAATCTCCGTGGCGCAAACTACAGCAACATTGTCTTCATCGACACAGAGCTTACCGTCTTCAGCAACGCTCTGCCATGGTTCTTCGCCCTCGACAATGAGGGGTCGGACAGATTTTTTCAATTAACATCTCAGCAAGAGTCAACCATCAAAGTGCAGCGCTATCTCATCAATACCACTCTCCACACTCAACGATGCGTCCTGCATCTCCCGTACTTTGCACGCTGTCGGGAAACATGCGCATACGCGTACTCCCGTGACGTCTGCCTAGATGCCGCCAGGTCAATCGTGCAGGCCGAGCTGCTCATCGAAAGAGATATGCTCCCTTTCACCAAGGTGCGCCTCAAGTTATCCGCATCGTTGTATGGGTTGTTTGTTGCAAATATCATATTCTTCCTCGAGGCCTCCTTTCACAAGGTGTCCGAATGGCCAAATGGTCTGCGCTCGACAACAAAGGAAGCCTTCCGTCTTCTGATGGAGGCAAAAAGAAGCTCCTCAATGGCAGCCAAACTCTGCGAAACCTTGTGCCATATTTCGGAGAAGAACAAAGTCTCATTACCTATTCTTCATGCTCAAAATTCGCCATGTGACTACACGTCGACCCTGGCAACTGGCGCTTTGGAAGATATGAATACTTCTCATGGCGTTGCTGAAGGCCGAGAACAGAATCAATTCTCAATGAACGACTGGGCCGACAGTTACTCGTCGTGCGAAGGTCAAGACCTGTTTGATCCGTTGGCTTGGGCGCAATCTATCGGCGCATTTGAAGAATACCAGTATTTGTGACCGTGAATGCCTTAGTGAAAGCCAAAGCGACCGGCATGTACTAGATTTACAAGATTGTAGAAAAGTTACCTGGTGACACAGGTCCTTGTTCCTCGGTGATCCTAAAACCTTGGCTATTGCTCTGTTGTACCATACCAGAATGTTTCAACTTCGTTGTATTTGAACTCTTGGACTAGTATTCGTCTACTTAGCTACTCTGTATCAACCAGCGACGTGCTATTTGATCAACTTGGGACTAATGCTGTGGATAGGAGGAAACTTTGTCCGCGGAACCTCCGAAGGAGAGTCGAAAGATTGCCGATCTCATTTCCTGACTGTGAAAGGCTTATTTACCCATGCATCTAGGAAGACACCGTTTCTCGGAGAGACTATGGGTTCTCTTCACCCGTCACTAATTTCGGCGATGGAAATTGTCCGGCAAGGGTTCTATGTTTCTCAGTAACCCATGCGCCCAGTAGGGCAATGGTTTCTGGCAGGGAAGGGATCCTGTCCATGAAGATGTTGTCACATGGAGGTCGCTGAGGATGTATCAATCCATTAATCTCAAATGCACCTATAAATGGAGAATATCCCAAATCACCACCTGGAGATGCTTTGAATGCATCTTTGGTCGCACTTTTGTTGCTATTTAGCAGATTCGCAGATTGTTACTGTGACAGATCGACCAACGCTGCAATGCCGCTGGAAGGTCGCGTCAACACCGCGAATACTGACTCCCCAGAAACACCACGACGTGGGAACTCACCAGAAGAGCTGGGAAGCGGCCGGACACCAGCAAAGATTGACGATGTCGGGACAGTGGCAGCTCATGGCGACAACGGGACCGTTCAGGAGACTCAAGGAGAGACCATCGTCGATTGGAAAGGGCCACAGGATCCAGAAAATCCGTTACATTGGTCTACAACAAGAAAGGCTGTTATGATTGGGAACATTTCCTTCATCACGTTTCTATCGTATGCTTCCACATTCCTCAAAGATTGCCCGAATGACTGACCTTGAATAGCCCGCTGGCATCGACCATTGTTGCCCCTGCCGTGTCCATTGTAATGGAAGAGTTTGACACTACAAATCAGACCATCGGCTCGTTTGTCACTTCGGTATATCTGCTCGGTTATGCGTTTGGTCCACTCATTCTGGCTCCCTTGTCCGAGCTTTACGGCCGTTCGATTGTTTACAATTCGTGTAACTTGATCTTTTTGCTTTTCAACATCGCGTGTGCCGAGGCGCCGAATATGGCGTCTCTGATTGTTTTCCGGCTCTTCGCCGGCCTTGCAGGCTCGTGCCCATTGACACTTGGGGCCGCTTCTATCGCGGACATGGTGGCACTCGAGCATCGAGGGAAGGCAATGGCCGGATGGGTATTAGGGCCCCTCATTGGCCCAGTGATTGGCCCTATCAGTATGTCAGAGACCTCACATACATCACGACTCGTTGCTGACGTATTGTAGTTGGCGGGTATCTCGGCCAGGCGGCCGGCTGGCGATGGATCTTTTGGCTCCTGACTATCGCTGTAAGTCGAAACATCCATGACTCCGTATATGGCAACAAATACTCATCATTTCTGATCATGCAGAGCGGCATCGTCTGTATAGTCACAGTGGTATCGATGAAGGAATCTTCGGCCTACATTATCCTTCAGCAAAGAACCAAACGCCTACGTAAGGAGTCCGGCAACCTCAAGCTCAAATCAAAGTTGGACAGTGAAAAAACACCAGCGGAAATGTTCGCTTTCTCCATCATTCGCCCTATTAAAATGCTGTTTCTATCACCCATTGTGCTTCTTCTTTCGACTTTCGCTGCCACGGTTTACGGATACATGTATCTATGTTTCACTACATTTCCGGCGATATTTGAGCAGCAGTACGAATTTTCAAGCGGAAGTTCTGGCCTGTCGTATCTCGGCATCGGTGTTGGGTCCTTTGTCGGGTTAGCCATTGCTGGTGCGACATCCGACAGGACGGTCAAGTCGATGGCGGCCAAAAATAACGGTACTGCCAAACCTGAATATCGCCTGCCGCTCCTTTTGCTTGGTGCTTTGTTCGTCCCTGCAGGTTTGTTTTGGTACGGCTGGTCGGCAGAAGCCAAGACTCATTACATCGTGCCTATCATCGGCACCAGTCTGCTTGGGATTGGGATCGTGATGGTGGTAGTGAGTCAAGACTTGAACACCATGGCTGACCCTCAGACTGACCGCCGTATTGCAGATGGCCACTACGACATATCTCGTCGATGCTTACACGATATACTCCGCATCCGCTGTTGCAGCTAGTACAGTATTTAGGTCTCTGTTTGGAGCCTTATTGCCGCTGGCTGGACCTGCCATGTACGAATCCTTGGGGGTGGGCTGGGGTACTTCTGTACTTGGATTCATTGCTGTGGCCATGGTTCCCATTCCTTTTGTTTTCATACTATATGGCGAACGCATCAGAAACAATAACCTCCTCAAAGTTGAGTGGTAGCCAGAGAGGGAAATGATCATCTTGGGGGCTCAGAGGGCAAGATGGTGATCTGACCTTGATCGTTCAGCAAATCAGATTTAGATGGTTGATGTAATTCGCCGTTAGCGGAAGAAGAGTCATTGAATTGTGACCCTGAACGTGAGGTCCGGGGAAGGTATTGTGCAATGCCCCGCGATTGTGGTTGGAAAAGGAGGTCTCAGCCTTGCCGCTACAGCGGAACATACGATCCGTTATGCGGGAAGATCGGCGAGAGATTCGCAGGACAAGCTCGGGAGTACTTTCTCAATAACAGAATACCTCTGAAGCAAGTGGCTCGCCATATATAAAGTCCACATCAGATATGTCAGCCGTGTAGATAAGGTTGATGAATTCGCCTCAAGGCAAGTATCTTTGTACCCCCGTGAAACTATCATTGGCCGCGCAGTCTGTCCTCAAAATCGATACAGTATGCCCATAAATGGATTTGAGTAGTCTTCTACAGCTTGGCGAGTCTGAAGTGTTGTAAAAGAAGGGTCAACTATTCAGTTCTGTTGTTGAGCTTTAACTGCGTGAATCATTCTTGGGGAGAACTTGAGAAATGAAAATCCCCTGGAGTGTGGCCTTGGGAAGTTGCTTGAGCATATAACCATGGATCATGGTCCGTGTGATTAGACTGGGCTATCAAGGCGAAAACACCGAGGAAATCTGCCTTCGATGAGCTACGCACACAATACATCTTCTACTTTGTACGTTGCGGCTTTGCCTCGAGTATTATTAACTCCGCCAAGTGTATGTATGAATGGTCTGTGGACTCGTGGGGTAAGTTTGGCTTCAGTTTGGTAAATATTTTCAAGCAGCAGAAATTTAGCCAAGAGCTTTGTCCCAATTATTGGGAATTTTAATGGTTTTGAATATGTAAGTGACCGCTAAGTCGTCTTGTTAAGGAGCGAATGACGGTCGAATTATGTCCAAAGACAGAAATAAACTCCACCAGGTACCGTCAGGCATAGATCCCCCTCACATGCCACACCTCCGTCTTGCACTATATGCCTCTAAGCCGATGCTGAGCCTCAACCATTCTTTATAGGTGCTTCGAGCACACACTAAGGCTAGTGCCCGATCCCTAGTTCCCGCATGTCCAACCGCCACGAGGACCGCCTTGCCAGCTTCTAAACATCCAACCTGGGCGAACGTGTGGACCTCCTCCCGTATAGGTTGAAGGGGGACTGGCCGAGCCGGTCGATGTGGCCTGGCTTGGAGGGGTCGTGATACCAGTGGTGCTGATGCCGGTGGTCGAGGCTCCGCTAGTTGCCGGGTTGGTTGTCGAAGATGGGCCTCCAGTAGTTGCCGGGGTGGTGGTGGTGGTGGAAGCGGGCGGTGGTGGAGCGGTAGTGGTAGTTTGTGCCGTTGTTGTAGTGGTAGCTCCTCCAGAGCCACCAAGATTGATGGGTACGCCGTTCAGGGAGCAGAGGTCCGTGATGATACGATACGCCTCTGTAACGGTTCGTTGTTAGCGATGCAGAAATGGGGTAAATGATGGGAAGGGCAGTATTGTTGCCAACAATCTGGATGCTGAAACGGTGAGGCTTACCGGTTCGATCCGCACTCGAACAGCCCGCTGAGACCTCCGAGGTTATAGTGTTGACGAAAGCGCTGGTGCCACAGAAGCATGTAACATCAGTTTGAGCACATCCGCTAGCAGTAACCGCGTCCGTGAGTGGAGTGAACTATGGTCGCAATAGGTGTTAGTCCATTCGTGAGGTCTGATTGTGGTCTGTGGCAGAGGTTCGCGGAGGACATACAGCGCAACTTGGCATGCTCGTGAAATCTGGCGGGAATACTTGACCGTTCACCTTGAGGACAAGACCCAAGGCAGCTGCAGCAGCGAGAGTGAGAGACTTCATATTGGCAGATATTTGGTTGAGACGACTGGCTGAAAAGTGACGATTTGATTAGAGACTCACAATCCCGCCGTCGAGTCGCTTCAACATAGCAATATTTATATACAATACTTCACGTCGTTTTCGCCGATGATCGGACATCGCGAAGCTTGCTACAAAGCTCGGCAGCTTCGGAGTCAACGGTCTAGTTGATCCAATTTCATAGCAGCTTCTCGCCTTGCTCGATCATGTGGAGCAATTTTATTACAGATTTACATGGTTAAGACCATTGTATTATTGCTCCAACCTTGCCATGCTAGCAAAGTTGGTCTAAAGACACTACACCCTTCGATATGCTTGGATGTATCATTTCCGGACTCGCTTTGAGCTGCCCTGGGGAAAACCATGAGCTAGACAACTGGATTACCGTACCGTAGTCGCAAGAACGGTGGGAAAAAGCTAGGCCAGCTGCCTAGCATATTAAAAGCAAGTACTGTGTAAGGGGTATGGCCCAGTAGCGTACTAGCTTGATGGGGGCAGATAGAAAGACAATGCTCCAGCGGTTGTCCGGAAATAGTAAGTATGAGTGATGGTTTGGCTTCCATTGCAATTTTTTGAGCATTAATGTGCCCATCTATCCGATCTGTCATGGGAAATTTACAATTTTACGTCGCCAATACTACCTTTTACATTGATCCTTGATCTTCTAGCTAGCAGCTCGGTTCC